ACTGTATAAGGGACTATACTAAACTGCACGAGGGACCCCTATTTCCATTGCTAAAGGGTCGGTCCTGTAATAAGGCTAATATTGACAATACCTCATATAGCATACGGTTTCGGGCTTAAAGCTTAGGATAGGTAGGTGGTGTTTGCTTGGGCCCCAAACTAGCAATATCATATGGGAACCCCCTTGGAGCCCAAGTGCGTACTACATACCTACATGGACCCTTCAAAGCCGACCAAAGCTCATGATCTGCCCTGGTTGTGGTCCCAGTGAAGTCTTGAGGTTTTCAAAGGTTTGGGCTGTGACTTTGCCTTTTTTGAAGTCTCCGCCGACAGGCCTGGAAGGCGAAAAGGAAGAAGGACAGTGAAGATGTGAACAGTGCAGCTGCGAAGGCTCCTTGTTGGGCAAGGTCTTTATATATTGGGGGTAATATTGGGGTTATATTGGGATAATGGAAAAGAAAATGGAAATTACAGGGATGATAGGGATTATATTGGGGTAATATATGAAGGTTCAGCACTGGTGGTTCAACAGTTCAACCTGATCTTGCCATTACAATCCCAGGGCCCCTTGTTTGCGTTGCACACCATCACTCAGTGCCAGAGTTCATAGATTTCTTTGCCTCCAAGCACCTTTGCAATTCATAGCTGGGCCAAATGTACTTCTGCAAGCACTCCTCGCCCAGCTCGTAGACGCATGGAGCACACCGCCGAAGGTCTGCACAAGTGAGGGGCGATGCTTGAGGCCTAGATGAAGGGAAATACATGAGATCACGTAGAAACCACAACGGCATCAGGCAGAGCTACAGGGAAATTCTGGGACCTCCTTTCATTCCGAGGCACAGCAACGCCAACAGCGTCACAGCTGCACAGAGACGCGGGATATGGGCGGCAGGGAGCAAGCGCTGCACTTTCAAGACCTTTGAACTGGAGAGGCTTCCCATGGCCAATATCAAAGAAAAATCCATGCACAGCTCCCGACTGTTACCCCAACACGTTCAAGAACAAACAGGCAACGTGCTTTCAATGTTCTGCCAGGCGACCACTGAAACGGAGCACCAGAAGTTGGCAACTTTGTCCTCGTAAAGTCCCCGAGCGAAGGGAAACATCCGGTGAAAAACCTGGAGAACTGCCTCAGGAATCAAGATCATGACGCAAAGACTGCCAATCGAAAGTCAGGATTATGTCTCACTTGGTGCACATTGGCTACTATCATTATGAATCGAAATAACACGAGCCCTACACTGCATGATTCATACCTGTATTGATACAACTGCCACTGAGACTGCTCCTAGCACTACCAACTTTATGTGCACTTAGCGGGTATGCCTGGGTTGTTCTCAAGATTATGGGCCCCTTTTGGTTGTGGATTATATTACGGCACCTAATATTTAGGGGTACCAGAATACAATGGGACTCTTATTTTGGGAACTACCCACTGAGTATGCGTATCCTGCAGATAAATGGCTGCAGCAGGCCGCTCTGCCAGCAGCCAGGGTGAAAGCAGAAGAGCAGCGGTCGAAAGGACCACAATCCCAGTGGAGATTACCTGCTTAGGGAGTTTTTGGTTTGGGGAGTTTTGGGGTTTAGGGTTTTGAGTTTAGGAAGTTTTGCATTCAGGGCTAGGTTCCCTTCAAAACCCGATTTCAAAACAACTCCAACACCAAAAATGCCAAAGGAGACCTAGCTGCGCGTGAGAAGGCAGCAATGATCCCAGCAGGCGGTCGCCAAAGGCGAATACCAAGAATACCAAAAAAGAAGGCTGGCGCCTGGAGGGCAGGCAGTCTTTCAGCGTGACTCTCTTGTCCCAAAAATCAAGAAACCCCAAATGAAAATTCCTCACTGCACCTTGTAAGCATGGTATCTACATCTCCTTCTGGCACAGCAATACGAGGGTTTCCCAAAATTAGGGATACCTTTTTGGGGGATCCCTATAGTAAGGATGATAGGTTTTTGGGGTCTATATTGGGGTCCCCCTATTTTGGGAAACTACAATATTAGCCATTGTCTAAACTCCTAGTATCCCCTTTAATAACCTTTATAGTAGTCCCGTATATAATCCCCTATATAACCCCCTTTAAGGAGTTTAGACTATAGCTCATATTAGTTCCCCATTATAGTAGTTTCCATTTTCTTTTCCATTACCCTATATAACCCCCAATAATATAAACCCTAGAATCCCCATATAAAACTAATGGTCCCCCTATTTTGGGAAACTAATATGAGTCCAATATAACCCCAACATCACACCTATATAAACCCAATATAACCCCTACATAACCCCAAATAACCCTAATATAACCCCAATATAACCCTAGTATAATCCAAATACAACCCTAATATTAGTTCTGGGGACATGCAAAATGCATCTTGCAGCTATGCGCGTAGTAGAGCGCGATCTGCTTGAAGAGCAGTCCCGAAGTGAAAAGAACCTTAGGTATAGTCCCCTTTAAGTAGATAGAATATGGGGTATATAGGGTTTGGGGTATAGTCCCCCTTAAGTAGATAGAGTATGGGGTATATAGGGTTTAGGGTTTAGGGTATAGTCCCCCCTAAGTAGATAGAATATGGAGTTATATTGGGAGAGTGGAAAAGAAAATGGAAACTACTATTAGGGTTTGGGGTCTATAGTCCCCCTTAAGTAGATAGAATATGGCATATGGGTATACTAGAATAAAACCCCATATACCCTAGAATCTACCTACTTTAAGGGGGACTATAGTCATGTATTCAATAGATCCACGGCGTCTCACAGCACACAGACACTCAGGCCTGACAGTAGATTGTAGGAGGCCTTGGCAGGCAATGAGACTACGCAAAGTCACAGAAACCTTACCTTTCTCCCGTACCATACCGTACCCGTGGGTCCCAGCTGAAGAGAGGAGTCAAGAATTGCTTGACTTACTGGTTCTTAGTAGGGAATGGGGAATGTAGAGACTATAAGGGCATTATTTTCCTTACTAAGAACCAGTAAGCTGAAGTACAGCCCTATCCATGACTTGATGCCATGGAGCGCTGGCTGAAGCTGTGCGGCCCTGGGCAACGCAACCAGCAGCGGCAAGACAAAGTCCCAGGCACACTCCATTATACCTCATCTCACTGGTTCTTCGTAGGGAATCAGGGAATATAATCCCTATATGATCCCTGTAAAGTATATTCCCATACATTCCCATACTCCCTGCAAAGAACCGGTAAGTCATAGCTGACATGTCCCTTGTACAAGGTGCTCTTATTCCTGGATTCCCACACCATCCCTCAATGTGATGCCTTCCTTCTTGCGCCCACACTCACACAGCATGAACCCAAATTGGTATTTCTAAAATTAGGGTCCCATCTTGGTACCCCTAAATATTAGGTTGCCGTAAGATAATCCATACCCAAAAAGGCCCCATAATTTTGCGAACAACCCAACTGCTGAACAGCTGGCGAGGGGCTGAAAGTGTCCATGGTCGATCACAACCTTCCCAGGCTGCGGTGAAAGTCAACGTGATTAAGCAAATATCTCAAAGCTTCAAATTCGGGGGTACCTTTTAAAGAGGATCTAGGGGATATGTAGGGGTATATAAGGATATGTAGGGATTTGGGTTTAGGGTTTCCGAAAATTAGGGGTACCAGTTTGGGGGCCCCCAAGGGTTACTAGTGTATTGGGGTCTCTACTGGGTTCCCTTGTTTTGGAAAACTACCATTTGGAATCTACACCTCAAGCATGCAACCCTTAACACAACCGTGCACCCTACCCTGCCAGCCCCACCGCACCAGAGGCGGCAGCAGCCACAGCAGAAGCACCGTTGAGGTTCGCAAGGCAGGGTCCTCCAGTGAGACCAAAATGTAACCCTAATATACCCCCAATATAACCCCAATATAATCCTAATACAAC